TTTTTTTAAGTGTCGTTGAATTGTAAGATACACATTTTATTGAAAAAGTATATGCAAGCTGAAACCAAGCCTACTCTTATCGTTAATCTACCTTCATATTTCCATAATTTCATTTTTGTATGGAATGTAATTGCATGATCATAATTTAAACAACCTTAATATTTTGAAGGACCAACTTATATCAACATTTGAGTAATAAGTAGAAGTGTGCAAAGTTCGAACAAAACCAACAAAACGAATTGAAGTAAAAAAAATCGATTCGATTTTTATATGTTGGTTCGGCTATCATTTTTTTATTTTTTATTTTTAGTTATTTCAGTTCTGTTTCGATTGATTTTAAAACCGGAATTACTAAATCGATTGAGCAAGATAAAAACATAATAACTTTTATATATCTACAAATAGTCAACAAAATTAATACAAAATAAGAAAGAAATAAAGAAGTTTAATTCACATATATTTATTTATATTATAAATTATAATGTATTTCAATTATTTAGTAATTCGATTAATCGATCGTTCGGTTGTCGTCTGATTTGGGATAGAAGTCCGATTTGTTCGGTTTTTCCAAAAGTTTGACATTATTTCAATTTTGACATTTCGGTCCGTTCTTTAACTAAAATCTTAGTCTTGATTAAGTTATGCTAAAGTTCAACATGGAGTTAAATCCAAAGATCATCATGAGTGGGGTTAAATCCACTTCTTATATTTTTGTAATTGAATTGCATATTACAAAATTATTTGACTATTTGTGTGGTATCACTTTGATCAAAATTGGTAGAAATATTTGATTATGATTTTAATAAATAAAAGTAATGCCACATCCAATCATGTTCCCCATTCTCATAATTTTTTTTTCTTTTTTTTTTGCTTAAAACAATCTAAAGGCCCAATATGAAGTACATTTTTTTAGGCCCATAACCCAACAAAGAGGTTCCGTTTACAAGTAAACATGGAACCAGTTTTGTCTGATAATTTTTCTAATTGGGCCTGAATTTTTTATATAGCTTATGATCATTTTTTAAATTCTTTCATATATCATCAATTGCCCAGAGTTAAATTTCATCCTAATGGTAATCAAAGAGGTCTTGTGAGACCGAATTCGAAAGACTCAATCGTACAGTGTCCACTCGGGAGTTTTCAACCGTTAGATCAACATACATCTATACAGTGAGTGAGTGTGCGTAATCTGTCGAATAAAAACTCGATATGGACATAATCGATCTTGCTTAATAGGATATATCTATTTAAATAAAAGGGAAAGAATAAAATTATATATCAATGAATCAAATCAGACAAAATTATCCGTGGCTATCAATCAATGACTGCCAATTTTCAAGATTTCCCATCATGTAAGGTATCCAATGCCAGTAACATTGAGCTCTGTTCTTCAATTTGATTTCATCAAACATAATTGCAAGATAGTAAATTAATGACCCACAAAAAAGACTAAATAGAGATCAATCAAGATTGAATTCATCATGCTAACCAAAATAAAAAAATAATAATTAAAAAAACATAAACAATAATGGAGACAATGGCTTTCAACATAAATTCTATAGAGCCATACCAAAAAAATGACTCTGTTTTTAGGACACTTGTCAGTAAACTATAAGTGATGTTCAAATTTAGTTGTTATAGAACACGTATCAATAAACTATTCGTGAATGACTGCAGATAACTCTTTAAACCGTGCCATACCACGACTCATGGTTCCCAAATGGATGATTCAATAAAAAAAAATTCCTACTTTGATGACTTATCACATGGCCCTTTGTTGTAGCTTACAAGTTGCACCTGAAAACTTGAAGATAAAGATTTGATCAAAAAATGGCGTCCCCAGCATAATCA